GGACAGGGCCATGAGCGGTACTTCCTGTTGGTTGTCGACGACTACACGCGCTACACCACGGTCTTCCCCTTGCAGCGCAAGGGGGATGTCCCTGGTGTTTTGATCCCCTGGATCCGCGCTACTCGTCTCCAGCTCCGCGAGCGGTTCCAGTCAGACTTTCCTGTCCTGCATCTGCACTCTGACAGAGGTGGTGAGTTCTCCTCCGACCTCTTGGCAGCCTTCTGTGCGGAGCACGGCATCCGCCAGACTTTCACGCTTCCGGCCTCTCCGCAGCAGAATGGGGTTGCTGAGCGCCGCATTGGCTTAGTCATGGAGGTCGCTCGTACCTCCATGATCCATGCGGCTGCCCCCCATTTTCTGTGGCCGTTTGCGGTCCGGTACGCTGCGCATCAGCTCAACCTTTGGCCCCGTGTCTCCTTGCCGGAGACCTCGCCCACACTGCTGTGGACGGGGAAGGTTGGCGACGCGTCGCGTTTCCGGGTCTGGGGTGCTCGTGCCTTTGTCCGCGATACCACCGCGGACAAGCTCTCCCCTCGCGCCATTCCTTCCGTCTTCCTTGGCTTTGTCCCTGACGCGCCTGGCTGGCAGTTTTACGACCCCGCCTCGCGCCGTGTCTTTGCGTCTCAGGACGTCACCTTTGACGAGTCGGTCCCCTTTTACCGCCTCTTCCCCTACCGCACTGCTCCTTGCTCCCCCCCCGCCGCTCTTTCTTGCCCCAGGTCCTCCCCGCGCTAGGTCCTGCTTCTTCAGGTGTCTCTCAGGTAGAACCCCCTGCGCCTGCGCCTGTTGAGGTCACTGGTGACTCCGGTCCTGCTGCGAGTGGTGCTGTCCCTGGGGGTGCGGAGCTTGGGGGTGCTGAGTCTGGGGGCGCTGAGCGTGTGGAGCCTGGAGGTGCTGCGTCTCGAGGTACTGCGTCTGGAGGTGCTGCGTCTGGGGGTGCTGAGCCTGTGTGTGCGGAGCCTGGGGGTGCTGAGTCTGGGGGTGAGTTGCCTGAGGGTTCTGAGACTGCTGTTACGCGGTCTCCTTGGAGTAGCCGTCTTCGTCCGCGTGTGCCCCTCACCTCCCAGCAGCTGCACGACTGGTACGGTCGCCGTCGGCGTCCCACTTCTGCACCTCAGGGCTCTCCTGCTGGAGGTTCTTCTGCTGGTGTCGCTGGTCCCGGAGGTGCTCGTACTGGGAGTACTGGAGCTGCTGGGGCTGGTGGTGGTGCTGCTGGAGGTACTGGAGCTGCTGAGGGTACTGGAGCTGCTGGAGGTGCTGGAGGTGCTGGAGCTGCTGGAGGTGCTGGAGTTGCTGAGGGTGCTAGAGCTGCTGGAGGTGCTGGAGCTGCTGGAGGTGCTGGAGCTGCTGAGGGTGCTGGAGCTGCTGGTGGGGCTGGTGCTGCTCGTGCTGGTGGCACTGCTCAGCCGCGCCTGTTCTTTGCTCCGCCGTCTCCGTCGTCTCAGCCACCACCTTACTCTGCACTTCGCCAGGTTCTCACTCTTCCCTCGTCTACTGGTCTTTCGTTACAGCCTGGCTCCCCGCTGCCTGCTCCTTCTCCATACACAGAGCGTCGTGAGCCTGTGTCGCGTCCTGTCTCCCCTGTCAGTTCCAGTCGTCGTGTTCCTCGTCAGAGCTAGCCGGCTGTCTCCGGTCCTCCCCTTGTAGTTCGTCGTCCTTCCTCTCCTTCACCGCGTGTTCCTCTGCCGCCTCCCCCTGCGTCCTCTCTGCCTGTCGTTGCTGACCCTGCGTCTGACCGGTTTCGTGCTGAGCACTCTACTGTCACGCGTCTGCTTGCCATTGTTGTCACTGACTCGTCGTTTGAGTCTGCTGCTGCGTCTGCCTTAGTCACTGAGCTTGTTGCCTTTGCTGCTCACTGTCGTCTAGACTACGCCGCTAGTCTTGTTGCTGAGTCTGCGTCTGTCTGTCCTCCGTCCGTCGGGGGTGAGTGTGCTCTTGGCACGGACGTCCTTGAGGACAGGCAGGAGGACCTTGAGTGTCTTGCAGCCGCTGCGCCTCATCTCGTATCCATGCTGCTTGCCCCTGAGGGAGACCCGGATGCACCAGACATCCCTACCCCGCGCTCTTACGCTGAGGCGATCGCGGGTGAGTACTCCTCTCAGTGGCAGACAGCCATGGACGCAAAGATAACATCCTGGAAGTCTTCAGGCACTTACGTCGACGAGGTTCCCCCTCCTGGGGCGAACATTGTCAGTGGCATGTGGATTTTCAGGGTGAAGCGGCCGCCAGGTTCTCCGCCTGTCTTCAATGCTCGTTACGTGGCTCGAGGCTTCAGTCACCGAGAGGGAGTTGACTTCTTCCAGACCTTCTCCCCCACCCCGAAAATGACCACTCTTCGGGTGCTGCTGCACGTTGCTGCTCAGCGTGACTACGAGCTTCACTCTCTTGACTTCAGCACAGCCTTCTTACAGTGCAGCCTGCACGAGGATATTTGGCTGCGCCGCCCTCCTGGCTTCACTGGGTCGTTCCCTCCTGGTACCCAGTGGAGCCTCCGACGGCCGGTCTATGGTCTCCGCCAGCGCCACGTGAGTGGCACGACACACTGAGGACGACACTTGCGGCTCTTGGGTTTGCTCCGTCGACTGCTGACCCGTCGCTGTTTTTGCGCACCGATACTTTGCTGCCGCCGTTCTACGTTCTCGTGTACGTTGACGACTTGGTCTTTGCCACTGCTGACACTGAGGCTCTCGCCCTGGTGAAGTCGGAGCTGCAGAAGAGACACACGTGCACAGACCTGGGTGAACTGCGCAGCTACCTTGGCCTGCAGATTACCCGAGACAGAGCACGCCGCACCATCACACTGACTCAGTCACACATGGTGCAGCAGGTCCTTCAGCGCTTCGGTTTCACCTGGTCCTCAGCACAGGCCACTCCTCTGGCTACAGGTCACTCGCTCTCAGCTCCACCTTCGGACGAGTCCGTAGAGCCGAGTGGTCCTTACCCAGAGTTAGTGGGCTGCCTCATGTACCTGATGACTTGCACTCGTCCTGACCTTGCGTACCCTCTTGGCCTTCTGGCTCGCTACGTGGCTCCTGGTCGGCACCGAAAGGTGCACATGGATGCTGCCAAGAGGGTACTACGCTACTTGTGCAGTACATCGGGCATGGGGCTCGTGCTTGGAGGACGGGGTGACGTTGTCCTCACAGGTCACTCAGACGCCTCTTGGGTTGACGACCAGGCTACGCAGCGGTCGTCATAGGGTTACACCTTCAGCCTTGGTTCTGGTTCAGTTTCCTGGCGTTCTACACGTTCGTCTTCAGTTCTCGGCTCCAGCTGTGAGGCAGAGATCTACGCCACAGCCATGGCTGCACAGGAGCTGCGCTGGCTCACCTACCTGCTGACCGACTTGGGAGAGCGGCCTCGTTCTCCTCCAGTTCTGTACGTCGACAACAAGGCCGCCATTGCCTTGTGTCAGGAGCACAGACTGGAGCACAGAACAAAGCACATCGCTCTCCGTTACTTTCTTGCTCGAGAGCTGCAGCAGCGTGGCCAGCTTCGTCTTACCTACGTGGCCACTCGGGCCAACACTGCTGATATATTCACCAAGGCACTTCCGCCTGGTGATCATCAGCGTTTCTGCACTTTGTTAGGCCTTGTGCCTACGCTTCCTCACTTGCTGTAGGCTTTGTTTGTACCATGATTTATATGTATTCCTGCATGCTTGTTCTTGTAGGTAGATATCACTGTACTGTTGTTGTTACATATATATCTCTGCATGTGAACTGGCCTTGTGGCCTTCTTGCTTGTGCTCAGACTGCGTGGTGACGTTGTGATCCACCGTGAGCTTGCTTTGCACTTCCTGACTGGTCTTGTGACCCTCTGTTCTCCCCCACTCTGCCTATGGGGGTGTGTCAAACATATGTATATATATGTTATAGTTGGGTAGGCTTAGTGGGGTACACACTGTGGGGTACAACCCCTTAGGTTTCTTCTTTGTACCAACCCTCTCGACACTCGACATCACTTTTGCCTATGATTCTAACACCAAACATATCCCATATTAGCACTATGATTCTGAAGACTATTGTCAGCGCTAGAGGCGCCCCTTCTGTCGCTAGCGTACAAAGAATTGGCATAAAGTTATAACTACCTGTAAAGAAAATTCATTTTCCTTACTTTGCGCCCCTGCTTACCGCGTACACGTCTGTTCCCGCCAACAGCACCCAACAGTGCAACATTGTCCCGCCATTGTTCACGACTCGACCCAACCTCACGGTCTTGTTGGTAACCCGTGATCCGGACCTCCGCCTCGACATTTCCCAACCTCGGCGCTAGGCCCGTAGCGCACCCTATTTGCTTGCGTTACCGTTACCACGCTAGCTTCGCTATATATTGTTCGCTCATTCATTCGATAGTGCAATTCTCGCTCGCTCGCTCAATCGCACTTGTAACACTACCGTATATACCCTTACGTTTGATGTTTTAGTATTAAACAATGATTAATTTATCCATTGATGTTTTTTTTTATCTCAGTTCAAGATATCCACAATTCAAGGAAGAATGTCGCTATCTGTGTATTCTGTGTTATTGTGCAATGGTTAATTGTATATCCATATACAGTTAGGACTGTGCTACTGTGCTGATCAGCTTCTGCCGAATATAACAGAAAGTACCATTCTGTATTACAACAATAATTGCAGCCATCAGGGCACAACATTATTTGCGCACAATTATTTGCCTTCAACACAAGCGTGAGTTACGGAGCATTCTCGCACCGCGCAAGAAAACTACCCAGGCTCGAGCCGCATGTGTGCTGCCCCCTTGCTCGCGACTCTGTGTGGAGAGATGAACGCAACACCCTTAAATTGATTCACTGTGCAGGACATGTCAACCCACCATCACTGTCAATACCACAGGTCGTATCTCCCTAGTCATCTATCCATCATTGCCCATTCCTAAGTCCGCCATTATAACCCGGTGCTAACTCAGCTTTCGTGCGTCAGTCGTTTCAGCCATCGGCACTAAAGCGACTGGGGGGGGATTTTGTTTCGTCACGGACTATGGGAAGTTGTAGAATGGGCTCGAGGGCATACATGCCTTTCGTTCTCGTCGTCGCATTCTCAGTTGCTCTAATTGGTCAATCTACTGCCCGGCTTCTCACCGAAGATCTTCCGCTGCCCGACGCATGCGCTCTCCTGCCCGAGCACTCCGCCCTGTGCTCTGCAGAAGTCAGCGCCGCGCGACGCTCACTGCGCACGGATTCCGCTCCACCAGCTGCTCGCGAAATGCAGCGGGCGCTCATTCGGCGCGCAATGGAGCGCGCGCAGGCGACGATGGATCACGTGGTGCAGCTGAAGGCTGAAAACGCGGACGAACGACTGCTCACGGACGCGGCAGCGATTGACTGCATTCACCAGGTGAGAGATGGCACTTAGAGATGAATATAGAAATTAACAATCTTCACTCGGCACCTGCAATGCCTGAACTTATCAACTGCAGAAATGCTGGGATTTATCTGCACTCTGGGCTCTGCAATTCATGCGCTCATCTTCTCCTTCCATCCCCGTCAAAATATTAGCACAAATTGCTGGATTCAATGACTCCCTCCCTCCTCGTCACTACTCCCTGCTCGTCCCTCCCTCGTTCCCTACCGCAGATATCCATGGCGCTCGACAACCTCGAGGATTCTCTGAGTGCCGTCACCTCCGCAATCAACGGTTCCAATTCCAGGCGTTTCAACGGCCGCCCGATGTTTCCGGCCGACCTAACGGCTTCCGTTGACGATCTGCCGTACCTGCTGACGTCAGCTCGGGCCAACATCGACGGCTGCGTGGAGGGCCTACAGGAATTCGCGCCAAATGCGCTGGACACGGAGCCGGGAGTGCGGCTCCAGGGGGAGGTCACGCTCATTTCAGTCACAGTCACCGCAGCCCACGCGTTTGCCCCATCCGCAAGCGATGACCTTTTTGGGGACGACGAGCTTTCCGCCTCTGCAGGCGGCAATTTTTCCGCCGATAATTCCGCCGACTACTCCGCGAAAACTACCGCAGATGCTTACGAGTACGATTACGCCTCACCCCCTCGCCGCCGGATGACGACGGAAACGGGTCAATCGGGCGACGACGGCGCGCCTGAGTGGGTAACCCTGGGTATTTTCGAGCACCTGAAGAGGATTCAGGCGGCGCACATGGGGGGGGAGAACGGGGGTGGCGCGCGGAGACTTCTCGGCGTGGATGGCGCGGGGGTGGATTATTCTTATGGCGGGGATGCGGGTGATTCTTACGAAGTTGGTAACCCGCTTCGGAGGGCGCTTCAAACTTCGGGTTCGGGTTCAGGTTCGGTCTCCAGCAGCGTCGGCAAGAAGAGCCAGGGCGGGCATCACGGCGGGAAAGGCGGGCATCACGGCGGGAAGGGCGGAAATAACGGCGGGAAGGGCGGAAATAACGGCGGGAAGAACGGCGGGAAGAATGGCGGAAAGAACGGCGGAAATACCGGAGGGAAACCCGGCGGGAAACCGGGTGTGAATATGGGAGGACTTCTGGATACCGGGGACTTCAAGGGCGAGTACAGCAGCCTGCTGCCGTCCCAGGTGGATGCGATTGTCGCTAAGGACGGCTCCGGCACCCACAAGACGCTCACGGTAAGGATGATGTGACGGCTAGCGGTGAGAGTAGACGGACTCATTTTGGTGTGACGGCTACATGCAGTACCATTTTCCTGTGTAAAAAAAAAAAACATTTTTTTCCCCTTTTTGCTCACCCTGGTTTCTTGCAGGCTGCAATTGGTTCCGCACCAATGAAAGGCACTTTCGTCATTTTCATCAAGGCCGGAGTGTACGACGAGCAGATAATCTTCGACAACAAGGGATTGGCAACACCATTATTACTGGCAAGAAGAGTGTGAATGGCGGATCAACCACCTACAACTCTGCTACCATTGGTACGGAACGGAATCTTCCTCATTCCCCCTTTGTTCGGTCTCTTTTATCCACTCTCTCTCCTTCCTCCCTTTCTTACCCTTCCAATCTTCAAGATTTCTTTCCATCGCGACCACTATGCCATCCCCACCTCCCCTCCCCAGGCGCCAACAAAGGCATGCTGACAGCGCTGGGAATAACCGTCCAAAACACGACGGGGCCGGCGGGCGAGCAGGAGGTAGCACTGCATTTCCTCCTCTCACTCCCCAATCCTTCCTCTCTCTCCCGTCCCATCTCTCTCGCCCAACCTTCCCCCCACCCCAGGCGCCAACAAGGGCATGCTGACAGCGCTGGGAATAACCGTCCGAAACACGGCGGGGCCGGCCGGCGAGCAGGCAGTGGCGCTGCGATCTAAGGACCTCTCGGCTTTCTTCGAGTGCGAGTTCGACGGCGCCCAGGACACTCTCTACCCGCACAGCGGCCGGCAGTATTTCCGCGACTGCAAAGTGGGCGGCACGGTCGACTTCATCTTCGGGAAATCCGCGGCTGTTTTTGACCGCCCGCAAATCAGGCTTCATCCGGACGATCCGGTGATTATCACCGCGCCGCAGAATGCGGTGATCTCTTCGGACGCGGGTGTGGGGAAGGCGTACCTGGGAAGGCCGTGGACCAACACGGGGACATCCATTTTCATCCTAAGGGGATTATTATCCGAAATGCGGTGATCTCTTCGGACGCGGGTGTGGGGAAGGCGTACCTGGGAAGGCCGTGGACCAACACGGGGACATCCATTTTCATCAACTGCTTCCTGCCCAAGGAGATCCAACCCGATGGATGGCTGACGTGGGACGCTGACACCGTGACGCTCGCCAAAAAGAACGGCGTGTTCTTCGCGGAGTTCCAGAGCACCGGGCCCGGAGCGCGCATGCCGCGTGCCAGCTGGGTGTCGCCGCAGAGGATCAGCAACCCCGCGAAATATACGGCAGAGGCTTTCCTCGGATGGACGAGCTCCGGCTGGGCTGGGATGGGGCAAGAACCTGACGTTGACAACAGCGGGAAGTAATGACGCTGATAACGAATCAGAGGCCGCGAACGGTTCGAGTGGCGAAAGACCTGTCGCGGGTGAACAGCTTAGGCGTTTCTCGGGGTTTCGCATGCGGAGGGTGATAACGAGGAAGCTACTATCGCGGCAAGGCGGGACGGCGAACACGAACCGTCAACGACAGAATTCCAGACCTATAACTCCTGAATAAAGTCGGCAGGAACCCGAAAATAAAAAAGAAGAAACGGTACTAGACAGCGAAATAAAGACAGTGTGCGAGCTCCAACAACCTCGGTTGGACGGCACATAGAAACTAGAAATGGTCGCGGATCGTGATTCACCATAGGCTCATCTGTCAGAATTTGAGTGTGTGAAATCTGAAACGCTAACAATCTTGGTTTTTGTTATTCTCGAGTTTCGAGATGCTAGACTCCCCAAATTATCAATAGAAAAATCCTTATTCCAAGATCACTTTCATGCTCAAATTTAAGTACAGTGAGTCGTTTAGTACAAACTACGTATACAAGCCAAGTAAATGCCCTGTTATACAAGCCCTGTTGCAACTCCAGGATGTTGTTGCCCTACATCTCGCCAAAGTAGGCACAAATACTACAAATCAGAGTTCTTGCTGCTAAAAAATGAAAAGAATACCCAACTCGTCACGTACAAAATTGGTAAACGGGGAATCCTATACCAGAGCGGATCTTACAACAACTGGGCTGCGCACATTATGGCCATACTGGTCCTTCCACGTGATGGACCCAAACCGGAAGGCCGCAACCGGCTTCAACGACGATATGGTTACAACGTACGTGGCCGCTTGTCCTGGACGCAGCGTGAATTTGGTGGGCCAGACACTCACCTTGACACCCTTGGGTGGGTCAACTGAAACTTTGTAAGTTGATGTCTCGGAGTACACGTTTGTGGCTCTCCTTGTAACAAACGCAATGCCGACGAGGTTGGTAACGGAGATTGACGCCCGGTTGAGATTGTATGCCCTCATTGGCACGATGAAGGGCACAAAGGGGAAGAACCGCTTCGTCCGAATGAAGCTTTGTCCAGCCAAGAATCGTAAGTAGCTCCGGAAACGGGTATTATACGTCAACCCGGGATCCAAGGCGCGCGACGGATTGATGTGCCCAGCTCCCATGTCTAATGGTGTAGCTGCACCAACTGCCTCTCTTTTTATCGGCTTCTTAACCCCATTGTCAGTGTATGCTGTTGTCATTAATGCCGACATAACTTGAGCCGGGGTCCAGTGTGGTCGGCGTTGCATTATTAACGCAGCTACACCTGCGATGTGAGGTGTAGCCATGGAAGTCCCGGAAAGGTACGTGAAATCCCGCGACTGTGGGTATTGGGGGTTGAGACTCCAACCCGAAGCTGAAGTCGAAGCTCCCGAGCCTGAATTGGTGCCTGGGGAATCGGAATTGATTGGTGTCGAGCCTGAGGAATCACCCCCAGACGTGGAACCATCAGGTGGAGTAGAGCCGTCAGTGGACGAGTTATCCGACGTAGCTGATTGGTCACCTCCAGAATCTGAGCCAGCACCGCCAGAATCTCCCGGCATGGCAGCGACAAGGTCGCAGCCCGGACCAATGATATCCGGCTTCAGGATGTTGTTCGTTGGTGTGAAAGGGGGGAAGATCTTGAATCGCGGGCTCACGACGGGTCCAGCAGATGAGAACGACGCGATGACGGGAGCCGTTGGGTCGATAGCCGTCCACGATGCTGTGATTTCCGCCGACGGGTTATCCGTAGACTCGAGATATTTTCGCAGAATTTCCCCGTGTTCCACAGATAGAACGATCGCGGGCCTTCCTCCCGCTCCTGCTGCCACTTCCTTGAGTGTTGCAAACATCCCCGCTTGAGGGGTCTTCCTTTTAAGCTTCAGTGTGCTGACAGTTCCTGAGGGAGAGGCACTGCTTCCCACCACCAGCACCGCTCCCGCTGACGGTGCTTCAGCCGTGCAGGCAGAGAGAGAAGAATCGGAGGAGGTATAGTTGCAGATTACCCAAGGAACGGAGTCGTCAGATGAGGAAGGGGGGGCATTGATGACTGGTGTTGAATCGGTCCATGTGACTGCAGTAGAGGAACTGTCGTTTGAAGAGCTGTCAGAGGAGTCAGAAAGCAAGGCTTCTGGGTCTGCTGTTGCTGTGGTGGCTCCGCTCCCACTGGTGCTGCTGCAACTGATAACACCGCCGCTGCTGCTGCTGCTGCCACTGCCACTGTCGCTGCTGCTGGTGTCACTGCTGCTGCTGTCGCTGTTGCTGACGTCGCCGCTATCATCTAAAGCTGGGTCATCAGAGCCATCAGTACTGCTGCTGCTGCTGTCACTCGTGTTATCAGAAACAGCATCACCGCTAGCAGCATCAGTGCCGCCAGCATCAGCAGCAGCAGCATCAGCATCAGTGTCACTTCCACTGCTGCAGGTAACACTACTCTCCCCTCCTCCCACACCCCCACTTCCTGTCCCTGTCCCGGATCCTATAAGAGAGACTGAGCCGCCAGTGCCTACGGGAGGAGGGGTGGTTCCCACGCCAGTGATTTGCGACCCGTCTCCGAGGGTCATTTGCAGATTGTAGTACCGGCTTATGGAGCTGAGGGGAAACCGGGTGAGATTGAGAGGGAAAAAAAAAGGAAGAATATGAAGGGAAGGCGAGAGAAGGAGAGAGGGAGTGAATGACAAAATGGGGAGAGGGGGGAGCAATTACTGGATGGAAGAGCACATCAGTCCAACAAACCATATGCTAGGTCCACATTGATGGTATAAACAAGACCCATAAGACCCGCAAGCCCGCATCTATGGAGGCACATCCGGTAACAACGAATGCATATGGAGCCAAGCCCATGAACGCATACCTGGCGCCGACAGTGAGGTAGAAGGGCGAGGCATTCCCGATGGTGCCCACCAGCTTTTTGGGGCTCGGGCGACCGGAATTCCCCGCAGCCATTGCAATGAACACGCCAGCCTGAGAGGACGTGTGGGAGAGAGATCACGAGAGCGATGGGTCATTCCGGTACCGCTGTAACAGCTGGGGAGAATTCAAGGCGATTTCGGAAGCAAAAGAGATCTCACTCACCTTTGCAGCATTGAGATACGCGATGTCTGAGAAGTAACTCGGAACGTTCCCTCCCAGGGAGATGGAGAGCACATCCACACCGTCGGATACAGCCGCATCAACGGCTGCGCGGATGTCCGAGTACGTTGCAAGCGTCTGTCCGTCTCTCTGCTTCCAGAGAACTTTGTAGATGGCGAGTCGAGCACGGGGAGCCATGCCGCTGGTGTTGCCGTATGAATAACCCGTGCCTGCTGCATACTGCACATGCCCGTTGCCTGCTGCTGCTCTGAAAGTGGTGGGGAATGGTGGGGAAGTGTGTGTAGGAGATGGGGGGTGAGGAGAGGAAAGGAGAGGTGGTGCCGCTGATGTTGCCATTTGAATAGCCCGTGCCTGCTGCATACTGCACGTGCCCCTTGCCTGCTGCTGCTCTGAAAGTGGGGGAAGGAGAGACTGTGGGAAAGGATGGGGGATGAATACAGGGACAGAGGGAGGGGTAGGGTACAAGGGGAGGGGTGGGGCCAAGGGGAGAGCAGGGGGGATTTGAGAGGGGTTGAGTCCTCTGCCCTCTCTGCTTCCAAAAAACTTTGCAGATGGCGAGACGAGTGCAGGGAGCCATGCCGCTGGTGTCGCCATATGAATAGCCCGTGCCTGCTGCATACTGCACGTGCCCGTTGCCTGCTGCTGCTCTGAAAGGGGCGGAGAAAGGTGGAGAAAGGTGGGAAAGGGTGGGAAAGGGTGTGGAGGAGAATGGGAGTGAGGAGAGGAAGGGAGAGGTGGTTCCGGTGGTGTTGCCGTAAGAATAGCCAGAGCCGACATGTAGTCGGCGCTGCTGCTGATGGCCCACACGTTCATCTATTACCCTCAGGGAATTACAGGAATTGCACAAGACAGAATACTTACCCTGCACACCACGTGCCATGGCCGTCCGCGTCTCGAGCCGACATGTAGTCGGCGCTGCTGCTGATAGCCCCCACGTTCCTCTTAAAGCCCTTGTTGAAGAACCGCGCTCCAATCACCTTGCGGTTGCACGCGCTGAAATCTGACCGCTTCTCACACCTGCCTCGCCACCGCCTGGGGGGCTTGCTGTACGGCTTGTAGGCCTGGAGAGAGGGGGGGAAGAGGGGGTGGGGGAGAAGAGGTAAATTTAGACCTCTCTAGCCCGTCCCTCACTCCTGCCTCTCCACCTCCCAGGGGGCTTGCTGTAAGGCTTGCAGGCTTGGGGGAAGGGGGAAAAAGGGGGAGAAGGTGAGGAAGAGATGGGGAGAGAGGGGATGGGGAAAGATGGGATGGGAAGAAAGGGGAAACTAGGAGGGTAGGGGCTGGAAGGGGAGTGGGAGGAGGAGGGGGGATGCAGCAGGGGGCCGAGGTTAAGCAACGTATGAAACAAGCAACTTATAACAAAATCATTGTGAACCATAGTGCGACGTTTCTTAACGAGGGTACTCACGGGATCACTGAACGAAGGGTGCTCGGGCCAAATGCCCGTGTCGATAATCCCGATGACCATCCCTTCCCCCGCGCTATCCTGCCCGCCTGTCGCGGGCCACAGCGTTTCGGGCAACTTCAAAAACCTCGGCGAATCCGTGGTGAGTTTCGTAAACAAAACATCCGGCTCGATCGCAGCAACCGCGGGATGCTTTTTTAGCCTTTTCACCTCCGCTGCTGTAAGCGTCGCCGCGAAACTATTCGCCGTGAAAGTGGAACTCTGGAAAATATTATCCTCGGCAATATCCAGGCTCGCGAGAATTCGCCGCTGCGACTGCTCCAGGAATTGCTGAAAGTCCTTAACAGGTTGGGATAGCATATCGGGGATGCTTCGTGGCCGCTGCGACCAGAAATTCAACTCCGCGCGTTGGTCTGCTTTCTGCTTCGCGTCTTTCAACTTATTCACGGCCGCCGTCGCCGCCGACTCGACGCGTTTGAGAATCGCCTTGGCGATTTTCGCGGCGGAATCGACGGCGACCGCGGCGCTCTCCATCACGTCGGCGACGGGCCCGTCATGCGATTTAAGAGCCTTGCTCATGACCTCCTTAAAAGCACCGTCGTTAGTGTCGTCGTCGACGCTATCGTCGTCGTCGTCGCCATCGTCCGGAATCGCGGTGCCCTTAAAGCCCATTAGCCCCCCGCGATACGTCAGAATTGGAGGAGCGGAGGATAGATGGACTATGTAGGTTTTTGTGGCTTGAGAGGCGGCGGCAGCGGAGGCGGCGGCGGAGGAGGAGCGAGAACGACGAACGGACGAGGAGGAGGAGGAAGGAGCAGAGGAGGTCGAGGCGGAGGAAGAGGAAGTGGAGGAGGAAGAGGAAGTGGAGGAAGAGGAAGTGGAGGAAGAGGAAGTGGAGGAGGAAGAGGAGGAGGAAGAGGAGGAGGAGGAGGAGGAGGAGGAGGAGGAGGAGGAGGAGGAGGAAGTGGAGGAGGAGGAGGAAGAGGTGGATACTACCAGCGGTCGTGAAGAGGAGGGCGACGCGGAAGCAGTTGAAACCGTCGAGGGCGATAACGTGGAAGAGGAGGATGCTGACGTGTCATCGTCGTCGATGTCGGGCACGTCGGCATCCGCGAGCGTGATGACGGTGAGGTCACTGCCGTCGTCATCCAACGCGTTTGTTGAGTCGGCAGAATCGGTTGCCGCTGCTGCTGGGAAGGCGCGGAGGGGGGAGGGGAAGAGGGGAAGATGAGGGGTATGGGGAGGGGGAGGGAAGTGTGATCACGGTGAGGTCGTTGCCGTCGTCGTCCCACGCGCCGCCTGCTGAATCGGCAAAATCGGTTGCTGCTACTGCTGGGAAGAGAGGGAGGGAGGGGGGAAGGAAGTCGGGGGTGGGGAAGGGAAGTTGCGGGGAATGGGGGCAGAGAGGAGGGGAGAGGTGGGGGTGAGTGAGAGGGAGATGACGGAGGTCTCTGCCGTCGTTTCCCACGCGCCTGCTGAGTCGGCAGAATCCGTTGCTGCTGCTCTTGCTGCAGGGAAGGTGCGCGGGAGGAGGGGAAGGTGGCGGTTGAGAGGCGTGGTGAAATTGAGCCGGGGAAGGAGGTGGGCAGGAGGGGGGAAAAGGTGGGGGGTGGGTGAAGGGGGAAGAGCGGGGGGGAGCATGGGAAGGAAGCATGTGTCTGTGGCACGGACGGACGCGCCCCCAGTTGTACGGACGGACGGACGGTCCTTTTCCTCCTCCCTCTCTTCCCCCGCACCCCACCCTCAAATCCCTCCCTCCTCTGTCTCATTCTCCAGCCATACTTCCCAGGCTCCCCGTCCCCTGATACTCCTTCCTGTCCAAGCGGACTCCCCCGTGCCGACACAGTACCCCCCTCCCCCTCCCCCAGCTAAACTCTCCGCACTTGGGCGCTGGTATGTTTCTTCTGTCATACCTCCCAGGCTCTTCCCCCCTTGATACTCCTTCCTGTCCAAGCGGCACCTTCCCCTGTCGATACTCCCCCCCCCCCTCCCCCTTCACCCCCCGCTCTCCACCCCCGCCCCCTCCTCCTCCCCCAACTAAACTCTCCGCACTTGCGCGCCGGTATCTCCCGCAACGTCTTTTCTGGAAGCGTAGGCCCGCGCGCACATCTGCGCGTATCCCCGCGCACCCTGGAGAATCCTCGCGCATCCTCGCGCATCCTCGCCCATCCGCACTCATTCTCGCGCACATCTACACGCCTCCCCGCGCATCCCCGTGCATCATGCGCATCCCCTCGCGCACTCGCGCGCATCCTCGCGCACCCTCCTCATCCCCGCGCATTCTCTCGCCCAGTCGCGCACGCAAGCATACCTATGGTGCCTTGTAACCGTGACGCGGGAAACACGGCCAGCACGAGCAGAATGAGCAGCGGCAGCGACAGCAGCGGCGGCCGTCGCGGTAAGGAGCACAAACAGCGCGCGCCTCGCGTTCTCCTACGGCAACTTTGATGTCTCCTAAGATCCATCTCCAAGCGAGCTAGCTAGCAGGCTCTAACGGTCACAGGGGGTCCCGACGAAACCAATCGGCTGACGCTAGGTTTTCCGAATACTAGGCTGTAACTGGGGTAGCGAGCGCGGAGAGGCTAGGTCGCGACGATCAGCAAGTTATGCGGCTCGAGCAACATTGCGCAATTTCGTGGAACGACTGATGAAAAAACGCTGTTCATAAGCTGAGGCCGGAAATGAACCAATTGCCGCGACCCAAGTGCGAGGAGCGGCGCTGCCGCTAGTGACCTGCTCCCTGCTCGCGCCGTTCCAAACTAGGCCCTGTTAATTCCGGTTAATCGCGCTGCAAGTTGGCAGCGTTGCGGTGATAGTAATGCCCTCTAGACACAATAGCTAGCATTCGTGGTCGAGCCACAGAACTCTATGCCATGCTAGGTGTTCTGCTGCACTGGTGTGCTATGCTTTGGCAGGCCCAGCTTTGTTTGGTGCGGTGCCTCCCTCCTGAATCCTGGCCAGACTCCTGAGTTGTGACCTGTCAAACCAAGACATGCAGGCAGAGGCGTGTACATGTCTATGTTACAGTTCAGTACAGGTGACATTGTCGGTATCTGGTATCATGTGTTACGCTGCCCCCACTCAAACCTGAGCGAGCTCACAGGTTTTCCAAACCGACATTTGGTCTTCGAGCATACAATTCCGAGTCTCGCGACCAGCTTCATGTCTCCGAGCTTCAACTAGTGTCCTTCGGAAGACGCCCTATCTCTCAGGTGGGTAGTTAGTGGATTATGCTGTTTCTGAGGTTTCGTTTCTGAGCAACCGCGCTTCGGTGAGATGGACGGGGGAATCTTGCTTGAACACCTGGGCTGTGGTCACTATGATTTGAAGCGCAACGCGACAAAACGTGCCTCCACATCCTTCCGCTAATGGTCCAGACTAGACTAAAGCCTCACTACGGTACAACCTGTTAATGTCAATTAAGTAGCGAACAAAGCCTGTTTATACTTCATTTTCCACCCCTCTCGATATAAGTATATATTCAGAATTGACAAAATCATTTGTTTTGCTGTGCGGGTATGGATCCTTTAGTCATAATCTGCATATATATTTTTAATTAATTAGGAAACTATAGTATGCATCAAACTCTTATCATTCCATGATTATTTCCGCCAATGCGTTTCCCTGTTTGTGTCTGTCATAAGGATACTGGTTCCAAATGCAAGGTGCTCGATGTTACTATTCCTGGAGGAGAGCAGAGTGCAGCGCATCATAGCGGGTACCTTCTGGTCAATCTCCCCGCCGATAAGTGCGGAGGCCCTCAACTCTCCAAGTAGCCTGCGCGTTTTTCGATCACTGCCTGCTGTTTTGCGTCTTTCTTCCCTAGTGGGTTGCTTTGTTCGACCAAGTTATTTATCCCATCATTGCCACCTGTTCTTCTGTTCTTCTGTTCCTGCACCCGTCAGGAAGCCCCAATTTTCCGCAGTCGGTTTACAAGCGTACCCTAGCCGTTACCCTTCGCCGATCTATTTCGCGAACATGAAACGAGCGCGGCGGGAAACGTCGTTCAAGGATGATGCGAAAGGCAGTCGGCTGCTGTCACTGTTGAGATAGTAAGCACAAGTAGGAGCCTTAGCTAGGTAAGCCCTAGCTAGGCAAGAGAGAATAAGCAAAGGAGGGTGTTCACTAGAAAGCAGCAGGATACATATAGGAAACCCTAAGGGGTTGTACTCGCTATAGAGTACCCCACTGCAGGCTAGAGAACAATAACATTCTGACACACCCCCATAGTCAAAGTGGGGTATAATCAGCAGAGCAAGTAGTCCTAGAGCAGGTATAGCAGGAGTTCACAATAGTAAGCAAAGCTAGAGTTAATCACAGCGGGCAAGTGAGGAGGAGGAGGAACTGTGGAGGGAGAGAAGATGCGAGGCAACGACTGAAGCTGCAGAGGCACGGGCACAGGAGCGGCTGACTCAGTGGCTACCGAAGCAAGGGCGACGGACTACTGGAGTGACTGGCTCCGCGGCTATAGACGAGCGGCAGGAGCAACGGACCCACTGGCGACTGGTGCAACAGGCTCACTGGCTACCGAAGCAAGGGCGACGGACTACAGGCGCTGCAGGCGACACGACAGCTACGTTCACACAACCTCCTCCAACTGCCCCACACCCTCGACACAAACCCCCTGCTGAACCCTAGCTCCACTCCCACGGCACCCCCCTTAAACCCTAAACCCTAGGCTCCCACACACCCACCCCCCTCAGCGGCAGCTGCAGCAGTGGGAGACCAGGGAGGAGGAGGAGCAAGGGGAGTAACACACAACCGCCACCCCCACACTCCTCACCCCCAAACCCTAATTCAGGAGAACAGGCAGCAGCAGGGGTGGGGCACCGTCAGAAGCACGGGGGACAGCGAACAGCTCAGGGACAGAGAGGAACGGGCCGCCCACGGGCCTGGCATAGCCCGACGAACCGCGCGCAGGCGGCCCGAGCCGCGCGCGGGCCTGGCGCAGCCCGTACGGGCCGCGCGCGGGCCGGGCGCAGCCCGTACGGGCCGCGCTCGGGGCTAGCGCAGCCCGCGCTGGCCAGGACGGGCGACGGGGGACGACGGGCTGGTCCCCGTCGCCCGTCGAAGCGCCCCCCGGGGGCGACGCGCGGACCGACGGGGCAGAAGGCCGCCGCGCGCCTCGGGGCGCACGGCGGGCAGAGAACCGCCGCACGCCCCGGGGCGCACGGCGGGCAGAAAACCGCCGCGCGCCTCGGGGCGCATGGCGGGAAGAAAACCGCCGCACGCTCCGAGCGCGCGGCGGGAAGAGAAATCCGTCGCACGCCACGGGGCGTGCAACACACAGAGTAGCAGCGGAAGCAGTTAGGTGGGCCCACAGGCCAGGAGCGTAGATGCTCTGATACCATGTTGAGATAGTAAGCACAAGTAGGAGCCTTAGCTAGGTAAGCCCTAGCTAGGCAAGAGAGAATAAGCAAAGGAGGGTGTTCACTAGAAAGCAGCAGGATACATATAGGAAACCCTAAGGGGTTGTACTCGCTATAGAGTACCCCACTGCAGGCTAGAGAACAATAACATTCTGACAGTCACTCCCGGACGACATCCTTCTGTTGCTTCTCGCCTGTGCGACCCACCCCTGCGATCGTCGCAGCGTCGCTCTCTCCTGCTCGCGCCTCCACCGCCTCTCGCGCCGCACGCCCCACTCGCTCCATCTCGTCTTCATCGCACCCTTCAAGTGCCCCAACGCGCGCAGGTGGCTCAAAGATTTCGACGACTTTTCGAGGGTATTTACCCACATAATTTCGCTGACCGTGGAGGTTCGTTCGAGCCAGGGAAGTGACATGCTGGCAAGTATCGGTGCGGGCTGCCCGAAACTGGAATCTCTGAAGCTTGTCGTGGCGTGGGGGGGTTATATGAACACTGCCGCGTGGACGAAGCTTGCAAGACGATGCCCGTGAGCAAGCTGATTATCTCCTCCTTGATTTGATTTTTTACTCCTCTCGTCCTTATATTCAGTCACACGAGCGCCCATTGTAAGAACGCCGCTGCGCGGTTGATTGAAGCTCACCAAGGAATGCCCGTGGGTGTGCTGATGCTCTCTTCCCCGCATTTGATGCTTGACCCATCTCGTCCATTCAACACCACTCACATCCCTCACCCTCCCGTCCACGCCTTCCCTGCTACCCCCCTCCATTTTCAGCCTCCTGACGTCTCTCGAGCTCGAATCGCCATTCACCTGTCATCCCATCATCAGCTTCCAATTGAATCACACCCCGTTCCCATTTTTTTATGCCGTCTCTTACCCCCCTCCCCCACCCCCTCCCAACCCCACCACCCCCCCCCCCCCTCCCCCCCCGCCCTTTATTTCAGCCTCCTGAAGTCTCTTGAGCTCGACTCCCCGTTCGCCGTCGCCCCATCATCTACCGCCATCGTACTCACGCGCCCCTCCCTCCCGTCCATGCCTTCCCTGCAACCCCCCTCCATTTTCATGCTTCTGACGTCTCTCAAGCTCGACTCCCCGTTCGCCCGTCGTCCCATCGTCAACTTCCGATTGAATCACACCCCGTTCCCATTCCTGTATGCCTTCCCTTCTCCCTTCGCCCTTCCTTTCAGCCTCCTGACGTCTCTCGAGCTCGACTCTCCATTCGCCCGTCGCCCCATCTTCTACCAAAGCCGTACTCACGCGCCCCTCCCTCCCATCCACCTCTTCCCCGCTCTCCACTCACTCTCTCTCCTCATTTATGCCTCAAAACTCACCCCCCTCACTCGCTGCTCCTCCCTTACCTCCCTCACGGCACCTCTTACCGCCTGTTCAGTGCCCAGGGTTTCCGCTCCCTCCTCCACCTCTCCGCACCCCGCTCGAACGCACTAGGCCTCTCTGGGCTGCCGTCCTTTCGCCCTGACATGCTTGCTCACTGCAGCTGCCTTCATTCCCTCTCCTTGATAGGAAATCCGGAAACAATTTCTGTGCAGAGGGAGAGAGGTGGTGAGACCGGGATAGGGGACGGGAGGGGTGGAGGAGGGAGGGAGGGAGAGGGGGGTGAGAGGGGTGGAGGAGGGAGGGAGGGAGGGAGAGGGGGATGTGGAGGAAAGGGTGGTGCTTCAGCAGGTGTCGTTTGAGAGTCTTGTGGGTATGCTGGTGCGGGTGGTGCAGAGGGGAGGAGAGGAGGGAGGAGAAGGAGGAGAGGTAGGAGGAGAGGAATAAGGGGAGGAAAGAGGTGAGGGTGGAGTGGAAGGTGGAGTGGAAGGTAGAGGGGAGGAGTGTGAAGAAGAAGAGGGTGACAGGGGAGAGGATGTGAGACGAGTTATAACCAATGCAGATGCAGTAGCAGGAGGGAGAGCAGGAAGGGCAGCAACAGCAGCAGCAGCAACAGCAGCAGCACCAGCACCAGGAAGAGAAGCACCACCACCACTTGCAATTGACTCGAGGAACGGGGGAGGGAGGAAGGAATACGTGGATGTTTGAACGACAGCAGCGGCAGCACGAGCAGACCTAGTGGCAGCAAGCACAGACCTCTCCAATCTCATGGAAGCAACAGCAACGCTTTCACAACCGCCCCTGATTCTGCCCGGTGGGCCTGCACGGCCCGCCCAGAATACGCCCTTTCGGAGATCAAATCTGCCTCAAATAAAATCAGATCTGCGGTCTCGACGTTCAAGGCGCTGCGGGTGGCGGTTTCAGAGCAAGACGCGGCGACGGCGAGAGGGGATGAGGTGATAGAGGCGTTTGTTGCCGCCACGACTGCGGGCGTGTTTGTGGATAGTCTGGAAAGGGCTAGAATGGAAGGGGAGGGCGAAGGGGGGGGGTATTATGGCTCGTCTAGAAGACTTTGATGGGATGCTGCCTGATGAAGACTCGCTCAGTGATGGTCCTGACAGTGCTTTTGGTGCTGATGCTGCTGATGGTGCTGAAGGGAGTGACGGTGAGGGTGAGAGTGGGAGTGAACCTGCAGGTGTTACAGGTGCGCCTGACGCACGGATGCAGGCTTTAAGTGTGATGGAGTGGCTGCTGCAGCAGTTTAATGAGCAGGTGAGTGTGGCCCTGGCGAGCATCAGAGACATGCACCGGGCCCGGCGAACTGCTGACGCCCGCCTTGTGGCTGCTCGCCCTGGTGTTGGTGGTGGTGCTGGTGATGGTGGTGGTGCTGCTGGTGCTGGTGGTGGTGGTGGTGGTGGTGGTGGTGGTGGTGCTGGTGGTGGTGGTGGTGGTGGTGGTGGTGGTGGTGGTGGTGGTGGTGGTGGTGGTGGTGGTGGTGGTGGTGGTGGTGGTGGTGGTGGTGGTGGTGGTGGTGGTGGTGGTGGTGGTGGTGCTGGTGGTGGTGGTGGTGTTGGTGGTGGTGCTGCTGCTGCTGGTGCTGGTGCTGGTGCTGGTGCTACTGGTGTTGGTGGTGGTGGTGGTGCTGCTGGTGCTGGTGGTGGTGCTGGTGCTACTGGTGCTGGTGATGGTGCTACTAGTTCTGGTGCTGCTGCTGCTGGTGCTCGTGCTGGTGCTGGTGGCAGCAGAAGTGGCAGCAGCAGCAGGAAGCAAAATGGCAGCTCAAAACCAGTCAGCAACAGCAGAGCTGCACGGGTTAGCAAAAGCATGACAGGCAAATCAAGTGGCAGTGGCACCACCAGAAAGGGCATTGCTGGAATTCCTGTGGAGGTGGTCTGTCCTCCCTTACACTCAACCCTCCGAGACTTTCAATTCACCCGAACCCTTTCAAGAAGCAAGTTGCAGATGCTCACGGATTTGACTATGCTTGAGTGTGATGCGATCACTGGCGATGGGGTTGGAGGGTTGCTGGGAAGCTTTCCGAAGTTGCGTTATTTGAAGGTGGAGGCAAGCAAGGTTGGTGAAAGGGCGCACAGGGAGTTTCTTCGTGCGGGCGTGGTTCTGAGCCATGGGTGATAAGAGTGGAGGAGTGGAGCATCGTCATTTCTTATGCTGTAGTTGATGTCATTTGAGGTCTGCAGAAGTGCAATTGAAGAACTGAATTGTTGTGTGGGGTATCTCAGTATTTTTTTAGGAGCGCTGTGTGTCAGACGGAGTGCAAAATGGTTTCAAGTCTCTACTGTGTGTCTCCAACCTCAATGTGAATGATGCCTTTCTTTGATGAAAGGCCTTCATGCAGTATATGCACAATCAGGTTTTGTGAAGTGGTAGGGTACACTTGTTACGGGTGCAATGAATCGAGGTAGCGAGGATTGCACTAGAGTGTTCAACGAGTACAAAGTATGAGCGAAGGCATGAGCGAATACTTATGCGCGAAACATGCAACGGTTACACGGTGCGTGCGAGCTAGCTAGTGCTACGCTGGCATGGAGGTTCGGGCTAGTCCCGAAGCGAAGGCCGACTCGGCTGGGCCAGCGATGCAAGGTTTGGTGAAACAGTGCGCGCGAAGTTGGCGAAGCCCCGTTAGCAGTAACGGGCGAACAACTGCTGCTGCTGTACGCGATGTTGATGGTCGTGATAAGGAATGTCGCGTTGTACCAAAATTTCCTTACAACACTGCATCCATAACAAAAAGGCACAACAAATCCAGCATTTGCTATACCATCTAGCGACAAAAGGGGCGCCTCTAGCGCTGACAATAGACGTTAGAAACATCCTGCTTATATGGGGTACCGTATGTTTGGGCCTGCCTGGTCCGTTGCACCAGCCCTTGGTCAGCGAACCAGTAGCTAGCAGGCATGCCATAGACACCAGGGCGGTGTTCGGCAGCCAGGGGAGAGGCTTTGAGGGGGGATCAAAATGCCGGGCCACCAGGTTCGAGATTGTCGAACCAGGCAAAAAACCCCAGTCAGAACAAGAAAAATGTGAAAAACCCACCAAACCTCGGCCTTCAAGGCGCCGCGAACCCCAAGCTAGAGTGTCGCCCGCGCCGCATCCCCACCACAACCTCCCCCTTTGCGGAACTTCTCCGCCCTAGAGGGGGGGGTTCCAAATCGGATTCCCTTTGCTGCCGCTCGAGAATGAGGAATCCAGTCCTGATCCCGCGTACATTCCCCACCTACCAGACTTCACATTACCCTGAAAAGGAATGCAAAAAAAAACCTGTAGCCTAAATCAACCACCCTCCCAACATTCGCCTCTCGACATCTATCTCACATCCATCCCTTCACCGCGCTTATCTCCTCTGGTCCCTACTTATTAGCCATCCCCTCCCAACGCGATTTGCCATCCCCTCCCAGCGCCATACCGCCAAAGTTGAGATCGATAGCCTGGCGAGAACAAGGGCTAGCCACACGCGTCGTTCTCCCTCTAATCGCATTAGAGGGAGCCAAGATTCTCGTACTCAATGGATGCGTCTTAACCTGGGTTTTCCAACATATTAAGCCACTATGTCTCCGTCATTCCCGCTAGAATATGTCATTCACATTAGAGGTATACGCCACGAGGCGCGTATGTCATAATACGAACGCCCCAGTCACATCACATACGCTACGCAACCTACTTCCCGCACTTAGGGCCTCACATCTGCGCATCTCGCTCCCATCCGCACTCATCGCCCCCTTATCCTCTCTCATCGCCCTCTCATCCGCACTCATCGCCTCTCATCCGCACTCATCGCCTCTCATCCGCACTTATCTCCTCCCATCCGCCCTTATCCCCTTCCATCCGCACTTCTCTCCTCCCATGCGCCCTTATCCCCTCCCATCCGCACTTCTCTCCTCACATCCGCCCCTATTTCCTCTCATCCCCCCCTTATCTCCTCCCATCCGCCCTTATCCCCTTCCATCCGCACTTCTCTCCTCCCATGCGCCCATATCTCCTCCCATCCGCACTTCTCTCCTCACATCCGCCCCTATTTCCTCTCATCCCCCCCTTATCTCCTCCCATCCGCCCTTATCCCCTTCCATCCGCACTTCTCTCCTCCCATGCGCCCATATCTCCTCCCATCCGCACTTCTCTCCTCACATCCGCCCCTATTTCCTCTCATCCCCCCCTTATCTCCTCCCATCCGCCCTTATCCCCTTCCATCCGCACTTCTCTCCTCCCATGCGCCCTTATCTCCTCCCATCCGCACTTCTCTCCTCACATCCGCCCCTATTTCCTCTCATCCCCCCCTTATCTCCTCCCATCCGCCCTTATCCCCTTCCATCCGCACTTCTCTCCTCCCATGCGCCCTTATCTCCTCCCATCCGCACTTCTCTCCTCCCATCCGCCCCTATTTCCTCTCATCCCCCCCTTATCTCCTCCCATCCGCCCTTATCCCCTTCCATCCGCACTTCTCTCCTCCCATGCGCCCATATCTCCTCCCATCCGCACTTCTCTCCTCACATCCGCCCCTATTTCCTCTCATCCCCCCCTTATCTCCTCCCATCCGCCCTTATCCCCTTCCATCCGCACTTCTCTCCTCCCATGCGCCCATATCTCCTCCCATCCGCACTTCTCTCCTCACATCCGCCCCTATTTCCTCTCATCCCCCCCTTCTCTCCTCCCATCCGCCCTTATCCCCTTCCATCCGCACTTCTCTCCTCCCATGCGCCCATATCTCCTCCTATCCGCACTTCTCTCCTCACATCCGCCCCTATTTCCTCTCATCCCCCCCTTGTCTCCTCCCATCCGCCCTTATCCCCTTCCATCCGCACTTCTCTCCTCCCATGCGCCCTTATCTCCTCCCATCCGCACTTCTCTCCTCACATCCGCCCCTATTTCCTCTCATCCCCCCCTTGTCTCCTCCCATCCGCCCTTATCCCCTTCCATCCGCACTTCTCTCCTCCCATGCGCCCTTATCTCCTCGCATCCGCACTTCTCTCCTCACATCCGCCCCTATTTCCTCTCATCCCCCCCTTATCTCCTCCCATCCGCCCTTATCCCCTTCCATCCGCACTTCTCTCCTCCCATGCGCCCTTATCTCCTCGCATCCGCACTTCTCTCCTCACATCCGCCCCTATTTCCTCTCATCCCCCCCTTATCTCCTCCCATCCGCCCTTATCCCCTTCCATCCGCACTTCTCTCCTCCCATGCGCCCATATCTCCTCCCATCCGCACTTCTCTCCTCACATCCGCCCCTATTTCCTCTCATCCCCCCCTTATCTCCTCCCATCCGCCCTTATCCCCTTCCATCCGCACTTCTCTCCTCCCATGCGCCCTTATCCCCTACCATCCGCACATCTCTCTTCACATCCGCCCTATTTCCTCTCATCCCCCTTTATCTCCTCCCATCCGCCCTCATCTCCTTCCATCCGCACTCATCTCCTCCCACCCACCCCCTCCCCCGTTCCCTTTCCTATACGCGCAGCAGCACATCTTGTCGGGGATGGAGCCCGTGTCGTCTCAAACCGGCCAAAGACAGGCGTCCTTGCGTCCTAGCCTGGTGCATCGACTAGAACATCTTTCCATGCACTCCTTCAGTGGGGCAGGTCCTCAAACGCCAGCCTCTATTCCCGATGCAACCGAGATTAGTGGATCTGGGCCCTGTGCTAATTGCAGTCCACTCCCCATACTCTCAACCACTGGTCCTTCTACCACACACCAACATGCGCAGTCACGGCGTCCTAGTCAGACGTCGACGCCGCCAGTGCCTAGGTTTCATGACAGGCGCACGGGAGAGTCTGCGGGTGAATCTGAAGGAGACGACACCACATTTACCATAGACTCCACTACCGGTGTCCGCACAAAGTGGGACAATGATCAGACCACCGATTTGCTGCTGATCATCCATGATGCTATGAAAGAGGCGGGGCAAAATCTGTCTGACCCCATCGAATGTTCGGAGGAGGTGTTTAGAGTGTGGCAGTCTCGCCATGCGGAATTGGGGTACATCTTGACTATTCTCCAAAATAGACTAAAGATTGTTAGGGGGTGGGTCAGGGACATAAAGACCCTTCAGCAAGGTTTTGGAACGGGTGTGAATTGGGACCCCGAACGTAACACCCTCAAGCCCGACCCTAAAGTAAGTATATTGTATGTGGTTTGTTCGCATTGTACGTCCCCCCTGCCTGCATGTGCCCAGCTGTGCGATTGGGTAGCCAGCCCACTGACTGCATGGTTCCCCAAGTCACCATGCAGTTGTGCAGCCTATGCTCGCAGTTGTGAAATTGGACAGCCAGCCGATGTTCTACATCATCACTCAATCTGACGGCATTCTTTTCATCTTCCCTAAATATTGTGTTGCCCAACAGCTTCCCTTCATGCTAAAGATCAAGAGCCAGCCCCGTTGGAAGCATCTGAAACGTTGGATGAAGCACACAGCCCCTTGGCTGCCCCTGGCGGAGCAGCTGGTCCCAGATGGTGGCGATAGTGGACAGAATGTTATGACAGGTGACGACTCCTCCCAGGAGTTCACCAATGATCCAGGCATTTGGGAGACTGAAAACGAGACTTCTGGACAAGGTGCGTCATCCGAAGCAGATGCCTCCACCCATCGCGAGAGCCGCCCTTCAACGCAGGGGCCTAATAGTTCGTCCCGGATGGACACAGCACCATCCGCCTCACAAGGAACGGGGGGTGGAGGACGGAGCCGAGGTCAGGCCGCACCATCTGGGGTTGGAGGGGAACGACGCGGCAGCGAGTCTCCCATCAGTGGGGGGGGAGCTGCCAATCGGGCGCAGCCATCCCCGGGGAGCAGCGGTGGAGGCGGAGATGGTGGTGGGGGACAGCCCACAGCATCACCACAGCGAGAGAGCCACAAAAGGCGCCGTTGCGAGAGCTCGCCCATCGCCCGGAGTCTACAGGTCATGGATGAAACCACGCAAAAAGGGATCGACGTCACAATTCGCAGTAAGCAAGCATCGTACATACTGTTCGGGAGTATTCCCTCATCACTGCCCCTTCCCCCACCATCCCTTCCCCCCAATTTTCTTGCAAGCCCCTTCATATTCCTATGCTTACGGCAGGCCATTCTCATAGCTGACTGCATGTCCCTTTGTATTCCCATGCTTAAGGGCGCTCATTCTCTATGATGTGAGGTTAGGCAGCCCCCTTACTGCATGCCCTTCACATTCCCATGCTTACCTAAACCCATTCTCACAGCTGGCTGCATGCCCATTCATATTCCCATGCTCACAGGCCTCTCATTCTCACAGATGTGAGGTTAGGCAGCCCCCTTACTGCATGCCCTTCACATTCCCATGCTTACATAAACCCATTCTCACAGCTGATTGCATGCCCATCCATTTTCCTTTGCTTACGGCAGCCCATTTCTCACTGCTGAGTGGTTGGGCAGCCCACTCACTGCATGCCCGTCCTATTTCCATGCATACTTAAACCCATTCTCACATCTGACTGCATGACCCTTCATATTCCCATGCTCACAGGCCTCTCATTCTCGCAGCTGTGAGGTTAGGCAACCCCCTTACTGCATGCCCTTCATATTCCCATGCTTATCTTAACCCATTATCACAACTGACTGCATGCCCATTCATGTTCCCATGCTAACGGCAGCCCATTCTCACTGTTGACTGCATGCCACTTGGGAGTGACCATACTTAGGGCAGCCCATTCTTACAGATGTGAGGTTGGGCAGCACAGTGACAAGGGCCATTCTAAATACCATCTGCCAGCTGCCCTCAACTCCCTTGTCATGCATTTTGCAGACGGGGACTACGCTCCATGTGTTGAGGCTACAAGGATTGTGAACGGCATGCGTGGCCCAACCCTGGGCAAGAAATTGAGAGCGACTGCTCGTTTTGCGGCCCGCCCGGTTGAGGCGTTGCAGTTTTTGGCGATGGGTGACAAGTTACGTGATGGTTACGTGCGTGAATGCCATCTTTCATCAGAGTGATGCTTCTTTCATCTCTAATCATTTTTTGACTGTTGGATTGAGGATAAACTTCAAAGCACGCACTTGGTTATATGCTGCTACCCAAAGCCCAACAATACTTAAACCAAATGCATATTAATGCAGTCTTCTACCCTTATCTCCTCATTGTAATCCCCATCCTCACATTATGATGGTTTATCTGTGCAAATCTACACTGTTCTAGCTTCCTCCATATCACATCTTATCCCCTTTTGCCATACCCTAAACTGTCAAACTTCAGTGTCTTGTCCCACGCGCCTCGCGGCCCATAACATATCGACCAACAACTCCCTGCGCCGTCTACCCACATCGGAGGATTCCCTTGCTGAGAGGATGCGCTCCCCTACACCACGGTCGCCACGTGCCTGCGCATTCTCCCCTACTCCTTCGCCCCAGTCTCGCCCCCCTTTTTTCTTAATAAAATTGTGCAAGACCATGCACGCAATGATAATCTTGCACTGGACAGAGTATTTATAACGTCGCATGAACTTCAAGATGGGAAATCTGGCCTTCAATTGACCGAATGCGCACTCAATGTGGGACCGAAGGGTGGCGTGCGTGCGATTGAACAACTCCTCCCGGCGCCTTGGGAGGAAGCCCACATCCTGCCACCGTTGCTGGTGATACATGACTGATCGAAACGGGGCTAGGCAATATGCATCGTTCCTGAATCCCGAGTCGGCCAAGAGATACGTTCCTTGCGGCAACGTTAGCCCTCTCATGACGGCATCCTGGAAGACAGTGTAGTCATGTGTCGACCCCTCCCACCCTACGAGCACGTAGATGAATAGGTCGTCTAATGAGCACGCGGCCAATACGTTTTGTGTAATATTCCCATGTCGGTCCCTGAAGACTTGTTGCCTGTCTGTGGCTATGTACGCGGGGACAAGCGTACCGTCTATCGCTCCTATCGCGTCCTTGAAGAGCAAGTAGTCGGGTCGGCTCCCTAAAAGTGCTACGCCAGGTCTTCCGGCATACGTATGAAGTCACGCTTCAATGAACACAGCCCCTTCGCAACCTTGTGGACGATTGCGCTGATTGTCGAACCACAGTGCTGCCATCGTTCCTGAAGCACCCGATTCGTGGTCGACTGCCCAATGAGGTTCAAGAAGATCATTACCTGCAGTCGTGGGGATATCGATGTTCCTGTCAAATGTTGAACATTGATATGATAGGCTATAGTGAGTTGCACTCTAGGGGGTACAGCTTCTAGGGTTGCTCATTTGTACCCCATTCGTTTCTATTCCAATCATTCCGTTGTTCGCTAACTTTGAGATGGTATCATGAGTAGGTGTCGATCCTCTCGCCTAGCCTAGCCTAGCTCGCGCCCTAGCGCCCTCCGCGCCCTTGCGCCCTAGCACACTCCGCGCCCTCCGCGCCCTCCGCGCCCTTGCGCCCTAGCACCCTCCGCGCCCTCCGCGCCCTCCGCGCCCTCCGCGCCTTAGCCACCGCGCCCTCCGCGCCATCTCCGCGCCTTAGCGCCCTCCTCCTCCGCGCGCTAGCGCCCTCCGCGCCCCTAGCCTGCGCCCCTAGCCCGTCGCCCAGGCGCCCGCCCTAGCCCGTCGCCCAGGCGCCCGCCCTAGCCCGTCGCCCAGGCGCCCGCCCTAGCCCGTCGCCCAGGCGCCCGCCCTAGCCCGTCGCCCAGGCGCCCGCCCTAGCCCGTCGCCCAGGCGCCCGCCCCAGCCCGTCGCCCAGGCGCCCGCCCTAGCCCGTCGCCCAGGCGCCCGCCCCAGCCCGTCGCCCAGGCGCCCGCCCTAGCCCGTCGCCCAGGCGCCCGCCCCAGCCCGTCGCCCAGGCGCCCGCCCCAGCCCGTCGCCCAGGCGCCCGCCCTAGCCCGTCGCCCAGGCGCCCGCCCCAGCCCGTCGCCCAGGCGCCCGCCCTAGCCCGTCGCCCAGGCGCCCGCCCTAGCCCGTCGCCCAGGCGCCCGCCCCAGCCCGTCGCCCAGGCGCCCACCCCAGCCCGTCGCCCAGGCGCCCGCCCCAGCCCGTCGCCCAGGCGCCCGCCCTAGCCCGTCGCCCAGGCCTGCGCCCTAGCCCGTCGCCCAGGCGCCCGTCCTAGCCCGTCGCCCAGGCCTGCGCCCTAGCCCGTCGCCCAGGCGCCCGTCCCAGCCCGTCGCCCAGGCGCCCGTCCTAGCCCGTCGCCTAGGCGCCCTCCCTGGCTCGTCACCCCAGCCCCGCAGGCAGCGCGCCACGCGGGTAGCGCGCCCCACGGGTAGCGCGCCCCGCAGGCAGCACACCCTGCAGGCAGCGCGCCCCGGGGTGCTTTAGTGCCAGAAAATAAATAAATTAATTAAACCCTAAAAAAAAAAAAAAAAAAAAAAGGGGTTCACAGTGGGGGCCTGCGACTGTCGCCCGCGTTCCTGCTTGCCGGACGACCTGCACAGTTGCCTACATCCCGCAGCCGTCAGTACTGCAGCCCCTACTGTCGCACGTACTTTCCACTGCCAGTGGCTCTACTAGCGGCAGCCGACAGCCGCACTTACGGTCTCTAGCCCCGGCCGTTCCTACCTCCAGCCAGCCCTAGCTCGCCGCTTCTAACTCCAGCCGTTCTCGCTCCAGCCGTTCTCGCTCCTCGCTCGTAGCTCAGTTTGCTCCGTGCTCCGGCCGTTCCTCGCCTAGTTTCACCTGGCGCTTCTAGCTCAGTTTGCTCCGTGCTCCAGCCGTTCCTCGCCTAGTTTCACCTGGCGCTCCTAGCTTAGTTCGCTCCGTGCTCCAGCAGTTACTCGCCTGGTTTCACCTGGCGCTCCTAGCTTAGTTCGCTCCGTGCTCCAGCAGTTACTCGCCTGGTTTCACCTTGCGCTCCTAGTTGTTCTCGTTTTTCACAGCAGCCTGTCGCTCCTGTCGCTCCTAGCCTGCCGCTCCTGCACCCCGCTAGCTTTTATCATGGAGTCCGCTAGGGTTCTCCAGCAGCAGGGACAGCAGCAGCGGCCTTTTCAGCAGTGGCTTCCGCTGCGGCAGGGGCGCCCTCAGCAGCTGTGGCGCCCTCAGCAGCCATGGGGGCCTAGTGGTTCAGGTCGCGTTGGCTGCAGCAGCGGCCCAGCCAGCTGGGGGGCTCGTCGCGGTGGCCGCGACGTCGGCCCCTGCCAGTACCGGATCCTGACCGGCCCTGGTGCTGGCACTACCTGCTGGCGTCCTGACCACTCTGCACAGCGCTGCTACAGCCGCCTCGACGGCCTTTACCGTGAGCGTTTTGGGCCTGAGTCGGCTCCCCCGATCTGGCCCGGTCTGTTTCGTAGTGGTTTCCCTGTGTTTGATATGTCTATGGATGCTGTTTATTCTGTCACGTACGGATCTCTTGGCTTACGTGTACCTAGCTTAGGACCTTTGCCTGTTGCTAGTGTCGGTACTTGTGCTTTTAGTGTAGGTGCTTGTGTAGTCACTAGCCCAGCCGTGACGACTGCTGTTGCGTCGCTCTCCTTCACGCTGGACTCCGGCGCGTCTCAGTGTTTCTTCCGCGACCACACCACTGTCACACCTCTTTCGGCTCCAGTCCCAGTTGCCCTGGCTGATCCTACTTCAGGACCAGCAGTTGCTCGTAGCTCGACCACCCTCCCGTGCCCGGCTGTCCCCTCTGGTTTCCTCACTGGTCTCTACATCCCCTCGTTCTCTCGGAACTTGGTGGGTGTTGGATACCTTCAGGACCGGGGGATCACAGTCACTTTTCCTGCGCACGGGAGGACTGCGATCTGTACGGACTCTTCCACCGGGGCAGTTCTTGCCACGTTCACCAGAGAGCCCCACTCAGGTCTCTTCGTCCTGCACACTCCGCCCCCGCAGGTAGCTGCGTCTGGTCAGGTTGCTTCGTCCCCCCCGGTAGCAGAGTCCGGTCAGGTGGCTGTGTCCAGTCCGGTCGCTGTGTCCAGTCCAGTCGCTGCGTCTTGCTCCTGTCGCTCTCTCGCCCACCGCACCGTCCTGTGGCACCACCGTCTTGGCCACCCGTCGATCCCTCGCCTTCGTGGCATGCTCAGTCAGGGACTAGTCACAGGTCTCCCACGCACCTTCCCGTCGCTCCCTCCATCGCTTGCCCCTCCTTGCTCTCCGTGCGTCGCCGGTCGCTTACGTGCCACTCCCCACTCCTCCTCCCTTCGTCCGGCCACCGCTCCCTTCGA